TCAAGTACCAGAAAGCCGTGGCCTGCTTAAATGGCCACCGTTAGCAAATAGGGGCAAGGAGACGGTGCATTGCACCATAAACTGTAGTCGCAGAGGAGATATGAATTGTCTAATAATGAATAATACTGAAAGAGTGATGATTGATTGTACGCTAAAGTCTCAAGCTGGCTAATTGATTTTCTGAATTACTACGGAATATTTTGGCTGGTTGAAGAAAGTAATTCTGGATGATTTTGTTACTTGTGCGCTTAGATGAAGGACCAATGGACATCCACCTGGACTCGTTCTTTCTGGTAGGGTTGACTTGCTTTGCAAACCTGGTACATTCAAATTTATAGCTCCATTTTGAAATCTTCTACAGTATATCTGATCATCCGTACTTCAGTGTAGCTTAATGCTTCTAAGAGATTTTTGTCATTAATTGTTTTAAGGACGGTCAGTCAAATGTCAGTGTTTTGTGTTTTTTCTCTTGTTCTATTTTTGTTTCTCAAGTAACGAGAGGTTATCGAGTCCTACAAGTTTCCAAAGCGCTAAAATGATTGAACATTGCTTATAAATGGCCGGAATGCTGAAAATTGTAACGATGATTTTGATGTTCTGCTTAGTTTATGTACTTTTAAATAAAACTATATATAGGTCAAAACTTATGTTCATTATTTGATGTTTAAACATACACACCATGCATCAAAAAAGTGTTCATTTGATCAAGTACAGAACCAGAATCGAAGGGCCATTCGAGAAATGTGTTAGAATAATCTTTATCGACACAATGAAAATCGATGGCTGTACTTGAAAGTCAGCTTTTAAAGGATAGCCGATACTGTCTTATATCTACTGTGTACTCAAGCGAGCAAGAACGACATATGACTATGCGGGGAACCTGCTCTTAGCAGTCCTGACTAATAAAATAACAAATATAACGCATGATTTGCGGTGATAAAGCTCTTTACACCTTGTGCAACAGTGACATGTACCTGAGCATCAGAGATACGTGCACCGGGCGAACGCGGCAGAATTCGGTGACGAGATGGTGGCTGGTAGGTGGGCGGGTGGGCAATTCAGCGAGGCTGTTGTCGATGCCGAGTGCGAGGCGGCGAGGAGGAAGACGGAAAGAACAGGCGCGCATGTCGCCGCTCTCTGGCCCCTGTCGTTGGCCGTTCGAAGTC